CCTAGGGCAGCCCCCCATCCACTCCACACCCCTTCACTCCAGGGATTTAATGAAAATTATTCCAGGTTGGCCAGAGAGGTTCCCAGTAGCAATAACTGCAATAGCACAACCTCCTACTGGGCACCAGAGAACCCACAGGGAAAAGCAGCATCCTCCAAACACCTTCAGCTCTTCTCAGCTAAAAGCCCTGGTCTGCCTGGGGGTCCCAGTTGGCTTCGTGGGCCTGGCTGGGCAGTGCCTGGGAGTCCATCTCCTCCCTGAACATCCCGAGTGTCCCAGTGCCACGGGGGGACTGCCCTGTACCCCACCTGTCACTGGGGCTGTGCCTGGGGGCTGGAGATATCCCTGCTGTGCTGGCCAGAGCCCTCACTCTGTCAGGAGGGGACGAGGCTGGCAGTGAGGCTGTGGCACAGAAACTGTTCCTATGACAACCCCAAATCCCAGACCTGTTTATCCCCTTTGGTGAAAATCCACAACAACCGTGAAAACAGGGAATAAGACTCAATAGTAAGACCTGAAATAAATCAGAACCAGTGTAAAGCATGTCACCATTTTACTCTGGCTTTGTTCCTTTCCAAGGAAAAGCCTGAGAAACAGGGAGCTGCAAAGGGGTGAGCTAACATATTTGGAATTGGAGGGAGGAGGTTCCAACTGTGCAGCATCCCAGGACTTCTCCCTCCTGTTGTCTTTTCTGGCAGGGATCCGCCCAGGCCAGCCAGCAGGCACAAACAGGACCCATGAGGCATTTTTGGGGGACAATCAAAGTGTCTCTGACACTCTCTCACTCTCTCCAACCACCTCAAAGCACCCAGCTGCTCCTCCAGCTTCTGCAGGCATGCTGGCACAATGTCCCCATGGCTTTGCCTGGTCCTCTTGGTATCATGGGGTCCCTATGGCATCAGGAGGTTCCCAAACAATCACTGGATGCCTGTGGCACTGTGGGGGCCCTGTGGGGTCCCTGTGGCATCAGATTCTCTTAGACCTTTGGCTGTTTGGGTGATGCTGATGTGCAAGGCACTGGCCTGTCTCTCCCTGGTGGCTGGTGGGCACCACGGTCTCACAGTGGCAGGGACAGGGATGGGGGCAGGGATGGGGACAGAGCAGAGGCACAAGGGTGTCTTGGGCAGAGACAGCCACAGACCAGGGCCTTGGCTGGAGCTGTTGCCCTGTCAGACACTGGAGGAGACCAGCTGGAGCGATGCCTGCTCCTGGAGACACAGTATCCCCTGGGCACCCACCCCTGTGACACACAGTGCCTCTGTGGAGTGCCTCTGCTTCTCATCGCTGGGCTGGAGCACCCCAGGACAGGGCACAGGGCATTTATCCCTGTCTGTCCCTTTGTCTCCTTGCCCAGCCCTGGCACCAGCACAGCTCAGCATTGTCCCATTCCCCGCGGGTACAGCCAGCCCTCTCCTGTCCCCAGGACACAAAGGAGACACCTGCAGCCCCCATTTCAGCCAGCCCACGCACTGACACCATGCTCCTCCTCGGCGTGAGTTGGTCACTGCTCCCCTCCCCTGGCGGCCGGGACCAGCCCCTCCCAGCAGCCGCTCCCCGGGCCGATTCCTCCCTGGCACTCTGCGCTGCCTGGTGGAGGCTCAGGCTCCCCCTGGCTCCGCGCACAGCCCACGCTCCCCATTCTGGCTCCCTGGCACAGCGTGGAATACCATGGCACACAGCATGGCACACAGCATGGCACACAGCATAGTACACACCATGGCACACACCATAGCACACACCATGGCACACAGCATGGCACACAGCATGGCACACAGCATGGTACAAACCGTGGCACACAGCATGGCACACATCACAGCACACAGCATGGCACACACCATAGCACACAGCATAGCACACAGCATGGCACACACCATAGCACACAGCATGGCACAAACCGTGGCACACAGCATGGCACACAGCATGGCACACAGCATGGCACAAACCACACAGCATAGCACACACCATGGCACCATAGCACACAGCATGGCACAAACCGTGGCACACAGCATGGCACACAGCATGGCATACATCACAGCACACACCACGGCACACAGCATGGCACACACCATAGCACACAGCATGGCACACACCATGGCACACAGCATGGCACACAGCATGGCACACACCATGGCACACATCACAGCACACAGCATGGCACACACCGTGGCACACAGCATGTCACACAGCATGGCACAAACTGTGGCACACAGCATGGCACACACCACGGCACAGACCATGGCACACAGCATGGCACACACCATAGCACACACCATAGCACACACAGTGGCACACAACATGGCACACACCATAGCACACACCGTGGAACACACAGTGACACACACCATGGCACACACCATGTCACACAGCATAGTACAGACCTTGGCACACAGCATGGCACACAGCATGGCACACAGCATGGCACACACCATAGTACACACCATGGCACACACAGTGGCACACACAGCATGGCACACAGCATGGCACACACCATGGCACACACCACAACCTGGCAAGCCCTGCCAGCTCTCTCAGCTTGGCACCTCCAGGGGATGTTTCCTACCTCCCGGCATCAGGAGTGGGTCAGATGCAAGAGCAGCCCCTGAGCATCCCCTGGCTGCCCAGAAAGCCACCAGAGTGCAGCCCAGATCAGCCTCCCCAGCCCTTTTCCTTGGCCTTGCCATTGCACAAGGTCCTGGCACCGGGCTCACACACCATGATGAGGAACAGCCAAGGTAAACCTGGCATGGCACTGCCCCAGAGTGTCCATGCACAGGGACACAGCCCAAAACCTGCTGGAAGCCAGCATGTCCTCTCCCCCTGGGACACCTACGCTGTCCCAGTACCCATCCAGGCACCACCTCTGCTCTGCCCCAAAGTCCCCAGCTGTGGCAGCAGGAGCCTGGTGGGTGCCAGCCTCTGCCCAGCACTGCCCTGTGCCTCCCCCAGCAATGGCAGCTCCCGGCCTCCCACACACACCCTCGGACCAAGCAGGTCACTTAGTGGGATGTGACAAACCAGCAGCACCAGGAAAGCAGCCTGGATGAGCAGTGAATCCATGACCCCAGCATTGCTTAGTGCTGCCCCCCGATCCAGGCTCTGCCCCCTTGATCCAGGCTCTGCTCCCCAGCACGCTCCTACCTTGTGTCCGTGCCCAGGGCTTGTTTGTGCTTTCACTGCCGGCACACCCCAGGCTGAAGGCTTAAAGGATTTTCCTTTAATAACCACTAAATCCCTCCCCTGGGCAGTAAGCTGCAGACCTGGGCCCGTTCCTAGGTGCAGAGCATTCTGCCAGTGCTCTGCTCACTCCCTGCTTTGCATATGCTCCTATAGAACTGGATTTCCCCCCTGTCCTGATTCAGCCCTGTGCTTAAAAAGCCCTAAATCCTCTTGAATTTCATTTCCTCTGGTCCTCGAGGTCTATCCCCGGTTTCGGTCTCACCCACGTATTTTACATACTCATGTTCACAGCCTTGATGTGAGATTTCTGCCAGTTTTGGTGCTGTCCCTCCTCAGAGCAATGTGAGCCCTGCTCAGAGCAGCCACTGCCTCAGCTGGGAAATGATCCAGGGCCTGGTCATGGCTCCACTGGGGAAATGATGCTGGGAGAGGCTTCATCCCAACACCGCAGCCCTCCCACTGAGGGAGCCAGTGCTGGATCCCTGACCTGGCAAACTCATCACCACCACCCTGCCTACAGGGTGCTGAGTGTCCCCTGAGAAAGGACTGACTCCAAACTGTCCCCACTTCACATCCCCAGAGCAGGTGACTCACATTCAGTCGTGCAAATCAGTTTCCGTAGTGGCTTTTCTCCCCACTGTGACAATTTTGTCCCCTCAAGGATCTCCCTGCCAGCCCTGTTCCCCTGGGTCACACTGTCTTGTTTCACTTCTCTTTTCTCATTTCACAGAAAAAAAGTAGATAAAGCTGAAAACTGGTGATTGTAACAGCTTTCAAGGTCACAGGCAGCGGTACTGGCAGCAGGTTCCTCTGCCTGGAAAGTCTGTTTTGGCCTCAGTTCCTCCTGCCAAGGAGGTGCATGCTGGGGCCACACGTGGTGGGTGCTCAGCTGCCACAGCTGGGACATCGTGGCTGTGGGGCTGTATGTGGTGACTGGTGTTGCTGGGGGCTGCAGCAGTGCCCAGTGTGGAGTGTGACCTGCAGCCTCCTGCCATGGCCACCTCGACCCTCTGGCTTCCTGCCCCTGGCCCGCTTCCCCTGGAAGTGGGCACTGAACACGTGGGCACAAAGCAGGGAATGTACACGGGGCAGATGTGCACTGGGCAGGGGTTCTGCATGGAGCAGATGTGCAGGAGCAGAGGATGTGCATGAAGCAGATGTGCATGGACTGCCTGGGACTGGAGCTGAAGGTGTGCATGGATCAGGGGAAGGGGCAGAAGGGCCAACTGGTACCAGCTGCCCTGGCTTTAACAGCATCATGAGCCCCTTGAGGAGGGCAGAGGAAGGTGGGTGAGGGCTGGGCCTCAGCCTGGAGCAGCAGCACCAGGGGCTGTTCCTGAGAGCCTCCTGCTGCCTTGCCAGGAGATGCAGGTTTTGTGGGACTGGGCAAGTTCCTTGCCTGGGGCAGGTGGGAGTTGGGAGCTGACGAGGGGCTTGGCAGCAGCACAGGGGTGGCACACATCCCCCCCAGGACCCTGCAGGCACTACTGCTCTTGCTCTGAGCACAGCAGGACTGGACAGAAGGCTGTTTGGTGGCTTTAATGAGGCTGATGAAAAGATAACACAAATTATGGACCTGCGGGCCAGGAGAGGGCCAGTGGAGGCCCATGCTGGTGGACACGGGTGTATGTGAGGTCCTCCTGGTGTTATCAGCACAAAACATCTTGCACAAGGCAGAGGTGCTTGGCCTCGTGGTCTGATCCTGTGGTAGAGAAAGCCTCCAGGTCCTGGGAGAGCTCCCCTGAGATGCAAACATGGTGAGCATGAGCATGATCTCAGCCGAGCTGAGATCTGGTTGCACCATGCAAACAGCTCCACTTCTTCTTTCTGGTGTCCTGCAGAAACGTCCCTTCTCCCACCCTGACACCTCCTGGCCGTGCAGGCAGCGGTGCCAGGTGTCACTTGGCAGCTGCCCTGAGGCTGGCATACTCGGTGGGGGCTGTGCCCGGGCTCCTGCCACGCCGTGGCGCCAGGGGCAGGGGCTGCAGGTCGGCGTAGTGGATGTTGTTCTCCTCCTTGCTGCTCTGCTGCAAAAGTGCACACAAATGGGGAATGCAAAAATAACCCTAAATCAGAATGCTGAGAGTTGGAAGTGACCCACAAGGATCACCAAGACCAGCTTGTGGCCCTGCACAGGACAACAGCAAGAACCAGGTTCAAGCCAGGCTGGGGTTGCCACAGCTGCAGAGGTGGTGCCATGGTGCAGAGGGTGCAGGGACCACATTCAGGCAGCTGCTGCCCACCCGATGTCCCCCCTGGCCCCAGAGCCTTGCAGGGCTCCTGCAAGCCAGAACACCAGCATGGGATGTGCTTCCCCATACTCACAGCTCACTCCTACCTGGCTGGGCAGGTGGGAGCTCTCTGCATCCAGGACTTCACTGTAAGAGGAAGGATAATGATGGGCATCAGAACTAAAGGAAGCTGTGTCCTTTCCCCACCCAGCACAACCCTCAATTCCCCTCCTGAATTTCAGCAGGATGTCCCTGTTGCAGGCAAACAGGGACAAAGTGCTGACTGCATGTCTGGGCTGTGCTCAGACACAAGGTGAAGGGCTGCAGGAGCTCCCTGGTACCGGGTGCTCCCTCCCATGAAGCTTTTGTGAAACAGAGAGAGACCCAACAGAACAGTGCACCTGTAAGCAAAGGACCTTTTCTGGGGTGAGTTACAGCTCCAGACAAGAAAGGAAGCCAAGATAAAGCAGGTGGATAAGGCAGTTTGCTCATTTAAGCGTGTATAAGAGGTGCTGAGTACAAACCTGGGGGTGCCAGGGGTCCCTGCACAGCACTGCAGAGGGACAGATGAGAAGCTGCCCATGGCCACTGTCCTGGCTGGGCAGGGGCTGCCCACTCCACCTTGGCGCTTCCTCCTGTACATGCAAAGGGCCACGAAGAGGCTGAGGAGGAGGAGGAGGAAGCAGAGCACTACAGCTGCAGCCACCATTCCAGGAACCAGGGCTGCCTCTGTGGAGACAGAGGCAGAGCAGGAGAGGGTGGTGGGTGTGGGGCAGAGCAGAACCTGGCTGTGGGCAGGGTGGGGGCTGTGGGACGGGCTCCCTGGGAGAAGTGTCCCGCTGGGCTGCACTCACCTTGCACAGACACCTCGGTGCCATTGCCACGCCTAAACACCTCATCAACACCAGTGCTCCCCTTGACAAACTTCACACAGTAATAGGTGCCAACATCATCAGGCTGAACGTTCCTGATGCGGATGGTGAAGTCTGTGTTAGACTCATTCACTGCTCTCATCACACGGGAGGAGGGATCCTCATTACTCTGGTCATAGACAGTCTTGTTCCCACTGTCCCAGCCCTTCAGCCACATCACAGGACCTGGTCCAGCAACTCCAGACGTGATGCAGTTCAGGGTGAGCGTCTCCCCCACTGCCACTGCCACCTTGGGCTGGGGCTGCTGCAGAGTGAAGCCCTGACCCGCCTGGGCACTCACACCTGGGCACAGAGACAGGAGGGTTCAGGGATGAGCGATAGGGCGAGGCAAGGGCACCCTCACAGGCAGAGAAGTCCCAGTATCCCCCAATTTGCAGCTGAGAGATATCCTGGGCTGTGGCAGAGACAACATGCAGGCACTGGGAGGGAGGAAACCCTTCAAAAACCGGTTCAAAATTAACAAGGGGCAAATCTGAAAAAAGAGCAGGCTGCCCAGGGCAGTGGTGGAGTCACCACCCCTGGAGGGCTTTAAATGACATGTAGATGTGGCACTTGATGACCTTGGCAGAGCTGGGTTAACGGTTGGACGCGAGGATTTCAGAGGGCTTTTGCAACCCAAACAGTTCTGCGATTCCATGATTTGATAAACCTGCATCCTGTTCTGTCATTTGCAGGGAGCGCTGCAGCTGCCTGGGGGCCAGAGAGGTGCAGAGGGAGCCAAGGGGAACTCCTGACAGGAAAAATTCCTGAGTGCTGTTAAACATTAACACCCTGGCTCTGCTCCACACCAGCCAGGATCACTCTGCGAGGAACTGGGCTTCACAGCCAGGAACCAGTGTTCCAGGAAGGGATGTGCAGCCCTGGAGCCCAGAACAGCCCCCCGACCCCCTCTTGTCCCAAAATCCCTCCTGCTCCCCAAAACCCCATCCGATCCCCAAACCTCTCCTGCCCACAGTCCCCACACGTATGGCAGCGGCTCGGCAGGGCTCAACCCAGCTGTGCCCATCGCCGGGGCTGGGGGTGCTCTGCCAGCACGGTTTAGGCACGGTTTGACCCCAAAAGTGCTGGGGAAGGACCACCCTCCGCCCCGCCCGCTGGTTATCTTTGCCGCCCACTCGTGTTTATGGAGCAGGGGAGCTCTGGGGGGGCCCCACTTCCAACTCACCCCGGAGCCGCCGCTGGACGGGGCTTCGCTGCCCAGACAGGAGCGGAGCTGCTGCCGCGGCCATGGGCTCTGCCCAAACTTTGGGAAGGAAAAGGGGAAGCGCGACAGGAAATTGAGGCGAGCGGGTGGTTAACGCTTTGGTGTCTGCCCGGGGCGGGCGACAGCCGGCAGAGCAGCCGAGCATCACCCCCGGCGGGCATCACCCTGCCTGGACCCTCCGGGCATCGCCCCCGGCAGGCATCACCCTGCCCGGACCCTCCGGGCATCACCCCCGGCGGGCATCACCCTGCCCGGACCCTCCGGGCATCACCCCCGGCGGGCATCACCCTGCCCGGACCCTCCGGGCATCACCCCCGGCGGGCATCACCCTGCCCGGACCCTCCGGGCATCACCCCCGGCGGGCATCACCCTGCTCGGACCCTCCGGGCATCGCCCCCGGGCCACCCGGCACCGAGCGGCTGCTCCGGGCTCGGGACAGGGGGTGGCTTTGCGTCCTCCCCGGTTCGGTGAGGGGCAGGAGCAGAGGGCTTCGGGATGTGGGACGCTCGGTGTATCCCGGACACTGCTGTGCACCACCGACCCATGGGAGAGCCCATCCCGCACCCCGATCCTGCTGGGGAGGGCTGGGTGTCCCCTTGGCACCCCAGGCTGGCCGTGTGTGGGGGAGCCTGCTGGATCTGGGCTCCCTCTTGCTGCCTGTGCCCATGGCTGTGGCTGTGGCACACATCTGAGTGGAAAATGGGGTGGACATTGCCATTATGGACCAGCGTTGTGACAGGAGATGATGTAGGCCTTGAGAAGCAAATGGGACGTGATTGCATGGAGGAACTGGGCTGATGGTGGCTCTTTTCCTTCCCCCCCTTGCTGGGTAAGAGACCAGCACCCTGCTAAGATAAGCCCAGCCCAGCTGAGTCAGCTGAGCCCAGTGCAGCAGAGTCCAAGGGAGCCGAACCCAGCTGAGCAAAGCCTGGCAAGGTGTGGAATACCCATGGTTCTGGTGGCACAGGAACTGCCTCTCATGTGCCTGATGCTGCTCCAGCTCTGCAGAGAGCCGGGTAAGTGGGCCCTGCACAGCCCCATCACATTTCCACCTTTCCCACCCTGCAGGCCTGGCAGTGCTTCCCTGTGCCCATGGGTACCCAGGGATCTCCTCTCACTGCCTCCCTTCCAGCTTGCTTCTATCTCCAGATGAAATCCAGTTTACCCAGCAAGAGTCTGGGCTTTCCTCATCCTGCAGTCCCCAGCAGCCTGCGGGACAAGGGATGGGACTCTCTAAAGGAATCACCTTATTGAAACACCAAAAGTTCAGGTAAAAGAAAGCCCTCTCCTGATTCTTCCTAAAAATACAGGAGAAAAGCTATAGAAGATAAAAATCCAAAATGCATGGGATAAAGGGATTGGTCTATTTCCATTAAAAGGGGGGGGGGTGGACCAGGGTTTGTAAATGCTCCTTTCACTTCGTCTGAGGTCTGAAATTTTAAGAAATAAATAAAAGGGATATTTGGAGGGTCCCATAGGCATAGCTGAACAATTAGACCAATTTTTAGGTCCAAACATTTATATTTGAGAAGAGATACGGTCTGTAATGAAAATAATATTTTTTCTCAGGAAGAAAGGCAATTAATCAGAGCAGCTGAAATAAAAGCTTAGGAAAAAAGATAATCTGCAGGGATCCCCAGAGAAGAAAAAATGCCAACTGTACCTCGTGAGTGGGGTAAAAATAATGAGGAGGGGAGTAAACACAGGAATAATTATCGTAATTACATAATCAAAGGAATAAATGAGACAGCATATCAAAGGCGAAATGCAAAAAAAAAAAAAAGGTTTTTAAGGGACAGCTTTTAGAGGGGACAGAAGAAACTTCAACTAAATAGATAAACTTAAGAGAAATAGGAAAATGGTCCTAAGTAAGCGGAAGATCTGAAAATCTTTAAAGAGATGGGCACAGAGGAGGAATAGAGAGGCCATAAGCTCTAATTTTTTGGGGGGGACAAATACCATCTGGAGCCTGTGATAACGTTAAAAGTGGCTCCCCAAGAAGAAGAATTGGAATTTGTAATAGACACAGGGGCAGAGAGAACCTGCCTGTCAAATATTCAAAAAAGTTATAGTGTGAGCAAACATATAGTGAAAGTAACAGGGGCAAAAAGAGAAAGTTTTACATTTCTAGTCATTAAAGATGTAGTAATTGAGGGAAGAAACTAAAATTTGGATGGGAGATGTCTTATTGGTCCCAGGGGCAGGTAGCAATTTATTGGGAAGAGTCTTACAAGTGCAATTAAGAATAGGAGTTATATCAGAAAATGGGAAAATGACAGCTAGAGTTTTAAAATTAGGCCAAGAGGATGAAGAAAAAAAAAAAAACAACAACAAAGAAGTTTGGGCTGGAGAAGGAAATAGGAGAGGATTAAATATCAACCCCCTAAGGGTTACAATTGAGAGAGAAGATTGTCCCATAGGTGTACGTCAGTATCCTGTGTCTTTAGAAGGACAGGAAGGTTTGAAGCCAGTAATAGAAGGACTAATAAAGGATGGGGCATTAGAACCTTGTATGTCTCCTCATAATATCCCTATTCCCCCAGTAAAGTCTGATGGGAGTTATAGGCTAGTACAAGATTAAAGGGAGGTTAATAAAAGAACTCAGACTCACTACCCAGTGGTAAAATATCTTAGACACTTAATAAATAAAAGTGGCTAGAAAACCAACCATGAGAAAATTGCAAGAATTTTATTCATTCTCCCTCCCTCTTCCAAGAGAGAGATCAGAAAATTACTTAGATTATTGAAATATTATAGATTGAGGGGTATGCACAAGTAGCAAAATTCATGTATGAAAAAATTGACAGAAGGAGATGATATAAAACAGACCAAAGAAGATATTGTTAAATTAAAAGAGTTAGGTTAAAACTAGCCTAAGTACCAGCTTTAAGCTTACCTTTGTTAGAAAAATCCTTTATAATTTATACATAAATACAGAAAATGGAGTAGCTCATAAAATTTTAATTCAAGAGTAAGGAAGACTAAAAAAATATCTAGTAGCTTATATATCAAAGATGTTAGACTCAGTAAGCCACAGCTAGCCAGTAGGTATTTAAGTTATAACAGCTACTGCAATCCTAGTAAAAGAAAGTTGTAAGCTTACTTTTGGAAGTAAATTACTTAGGTTCACCTCGTACCGTCTGAGGTGTGTTGAATCAAAAAAAAAAAAAAAAAAAAAGACCAAAAAAACCAGGTAAGAAGAGAAGAAAGAGAGAAGTTGAAGTAGGGAGGTGGTTAGCAAACTCTGAGATGTTAGAATGTGAAGTGATGACATCTTGGTGCTAGAAGAGAGCAGGAGTGTGAATGCGGGTTTTTTGCATGTAAGGCTAAAACAATTAAATTCTGCCCAAAAAGTAAAAAGCAATAGTAAAAAGATGTGATACATCTTGTGTTAAAATTGGTCTAGCTTTTCTTATTTAACTAACTGTAACTCACAAAAAGAAGAATTTGCCTCTGCAGCTATTATCACAGAAGAAGAGATAGAAGAAGAAGAGGCTGCTGTGGAAAAAGCTTTTACCTAAACCCAGAAAGTTTGGAAGAAAAGTGAATGGTAAAAGTTAATGCAGTATTATCTTTCTTTTATTACTATGCTATTATGAAGTCCTATCCAGGTACTACTGAAGCAACAATCAGAACCACAGAAAGAGGGTGAATTCATGCCAGCAGAATCAAAGGACTTGTGAAGAAACCTGAGGAATGGGCTATCACATTTTAACCAGGTGATACCAAACTGACTTTCCAATGGGGACTGAGTGGTAATAGTTTGGGAAAAGCCAAATGATCCAAGAAATGTACAAAGAATAACACAGAACTAAGAAGTAAGACAACGCTTCTACCACTGGTTTCGAGCACTGCCTGAATAAAACATCTCCTTAGGGGAGGAATACCCCAGATAGAAGGATCAAGACTGTTGTTGTGTTCTGATCTTAGCCTGAGAATTGTACAGGGGAGAAGGGGAATCACCATTTCCATCAGTAAACTTTATTTGATTCATTCCAATACTGGACATGCTAGCTGGGTTATGAGTAAATGCTTGAATTGTGAGAATAATTAGTATTGTAGTTCACAAAATTTATGCTCTTATTGGGAAAAAAGTGTTAAAGTAATAACTTAGCTTTGTGGATGGGAATTATTAGTGCCTGTTGAATGAGAGATACCTGAAGAACAGTAAGAGACCACAGTTAAAGGGTGTCAAAACCAATTTGCCTGGAAATTAGTTAAGAGAAAGTGACAAGGAAATAGAGGGCAAGACAAGATTGGCCTCTGTATTTTGCCACCAAGAAGATCAAATACACCTGCTGTGGGCTGCAACCTCACAGGCATGGGAGGTGGGAGTATGAGCCATACTGGACCTCTGTTATTCCTGCTTCTGGCACTCATTTGTTGTCTTTTCCCTTTCGGGATACCAGCAAGATCGTGTCACAAATGCTACAGAAAGCATCACATGGAAAGAAACCAAAGTTCCTCCTTTATTGCACACACCTATGTCAACAGCCACTGTTATAACCCATCCAAATTAAGAACCTGTAGGCAAAACAGAGTAAATTATTGGATTACAAGAAACTTAGGAAAAAGTGGTAATAGATTGGGAATTGAATGTCCAAAAGGAGAGAGATGGATTTGTTTTAAATTTAATCTTGAAGATACAGTTCAAGATTTGGTAAAAAAAATCAAATAGTAAACAAAAAGGTAAAACCAGCACAGCAATTTAACTCTGTATTGACCCCAAATTATCTATTGAGTCGTATTAGAAGACTCCAAGCAGTTATAGAAATGATAGCAAATGGAGCTGCCCAGGCATTAGAGTTAATATCAAGTCAGCTAAGCCAAACAAAACCTGTAGTGTATCAGAATAGGTTGGCTTTAGACTATTTATTGGCCAAATAAGGGGGTGTTTGTGGAAAGTTTAATATATCAGATTGTTGAAAATTGATGACCACAGAAAAGTCATTCTAGAAAAAACAAAAGAAATCAAAGAAGAAAAAAAATATATGCATATAATAACCCAGCTACCAGTCCAAAAAT